CTTCCCGTTTAAGTCCTCTTCTTTCTGCGTTCCTTTCTTTTCCCGTCTATCTACCGCTGTACATCTCCTATCCTCCATTCTGGTCCATGTCAGTGCCTCCTTCACAAAAACTTTCTCTCCAGCTGAAATGAGCCTCTCCCTCCTCGACTCCTGCCCTCCAGTGCTTGTAGCTTTTTTCTATTTCAGCCTTTGTGTGGAGCCCTGGTGGCAGAGTGGTTAAGAGCTTGGCTGCTAACCATAAAGGGCGATAGTTTGAATCCACCAACCGCTCCTTGGAAACCGTATAGGGCAGTTCTACTCTGCCCTATAGGGTCGCTGAGTCAGAATCAACTCCACAGCATTATGTATCTCCCTCTCTCACGTTGACCAGTTCTACTCTGTCCTATAGGGTCCCTGAGTCAGAATCAACTCCACAGTATTATGTAGCTCGCGCTCTCTCTCTCACGTTGACCAGCTGTCGTGGAGTCGATTCCGACTCTTAGTGAAACCGGACCAATGGGTCCGTGCTGAGCGTGCAAAAAGCCAAACTCTCAGACTCTGCCTTTGAGAGGAAGAAAGAGTTTATTTCGCAGGCTAGCAAGCGGGAACTCAGAGGTATAGGCCTCAGATTGAGTTCCCAGAGTGGGAAGGGCAGTTACATTTTATAGGTTTCTTGATCTTGGGGTGTTATACATATTCACATAAAGGTGGATAAGGGGTGGGTTAGTTGTTGCTGATTGGCTAATGTTTCGCTCGCCTCTAATTAAAAGTACAGGCAATTTTAATTATACTATCCAGGCGCAGTGGAAGTGCTTGGGGAATAGAGGTCCACGAAACCCAAAAGATTTGTGTGGGGGTTTGGTTTGACAGTTCTGCTGGATTTCTGTCACTGGGCATGCGTGGTGGCCAGGGATTTCCCCTGGGTCACTTGCCGGTCACTTTCATCAGTTCTGCCCATGCTTAACCACTTTGGGATGGTTTGAGCTGGTTCTGGCCAGGGCTTTTCAGAGGGTTTGAAAAACAACTTTTTTGAGCATGATGTAGCAAGGGAGGTGACTGGGCCATGGGGTCCCCTAACGGTAGCGACTCTACAGTACAGAGTAGAACTGCCTCATAGGGTTTCCAAAGTTGTCATCTTTGCCAAAACAGATGACCACATCTTTCTCCAGCAGAGCAGCTGATAGATTCGAACCTCCTTTTGGTTAGCTGAGAGCTTAACCACTGTGCCACGAGAGCTTCTTACACATACATACAAACCAAACCAAACCCATTCTGTGAAGTCCATTTCAACTCATAGGACCCTACAGGACAGGGTAGAACTGTCCCATAGGGTTTCCAAGGATCCGCTGGTGGATTCGCATTGCCGACCTTTTGGTTAGCAGCCATAGCTCTTTACCACTGCATCAACAAGGCCCAGTTATAGCCCCATCAACCCAGGGCAGGCCTCAGTGAGAATTGGTTGATGGTATGGGTAGACTGATGGGCAAGATGCTACGTACTATGTATTGGGAAACAGATTCAGAGGGGGCCCCATATTCCTTCCACACTCACTAACCCACTCCCTCCTTGTGCCTGAACCCTCATAGTTTGAGCTCCATGACATCCAGTTCCTGAGTCACATCTCCTCCTGTGTCCTCAGCAGAGGGCTATGCCTGGCTCCTTGGTCCCAAAGCCTGCAATCCTAGTCGGCTAGGGACAGGGCCAGCTTTTTGGGCCAACCACCTACGCAGTCACACAGAGCCCCATGCTCGGAAAGGCCTCATGGTTGGTTTAATGCTCTGCTGTCACCAGCTTGAAATTATTAAAAATTTTTTAACAAGGGCCCCACATTTTCATTTTGCACTGGACTCTTACTTTGTACTGGGCCCTACAAATTATGTCGCTTGTCCCGGCCGGAGACCTCAGAGATTGTCCCACCTGATCCCCACCATTGTTTCAAAGGACGAAAGTTGACTTCTAGGGTGGCAGATTTGTTGCTGTAATTGTTGCTCCCCTCTCCCGGGCCGTAGATGTTGCAAACTAGCATTCTATCCTGGGTGTGGTAGATGCGGTTTTAGTGCCCCATCCAGCTGCCTTTACCCAGCCAGTGAACCCATCCATCCCCCAGCTGAACCCAATTTTTCTCCAGAAAATTGCCCTTGGCTGGAGGGAGGATAGAGTCCCCTAGCCTGGGAACTTACTCCACCCCTAAGCCAATGACTGACAGATATGGGGACAAAAGTTTGGCTCAATGCCTCAGCTGCCATGCGATATATGCTCCAGGGCCCTTCCCCTGTGAATCAGGCCAGGGCTAGGTTTGAGACTGTACCCCTGCTCAGCATTTTTCCCTTCCCTATCCAGCTTCACTCCTTTTATGGGTTTTTTCCTGAAGTGCACTCACTCAAAAAATCACACATGCTCTAACGCCTGTCTCAGGCTCTGCTTCCAGGGAACCTAGCCTGAGACACTGGGTTTGACTTCGGAATCTTTCTCAACACAGAACCAGGCAGCCACTATCCACTGGCTGCAGTTAGCCCGTGAGATGCCATCTCTGTACCATCTCAAAATAGTTGTACGGGGCCTATCACAAACTTATTTTAGACAAGTCACTCCAGCCCTCTGATGACAGATAAGATAGTCCCCAAAGGCATTCCAGCTCAAATCTGCACTGCCTTGTCCATCTGCCAAGCCAATCCCAACAGGGGAGGGAGTCAGACCATGGAAGAACAGAATGAACAACTTCTTGCTCAAAGGAAAGGCACTCAAAACAACCTTAGGCTCTCCAACTTTATTATAGGACATGTTGGGGACAGCAGAGGGGCCACAAGAGGGCAGCTGGGAGCCCTCAGCCACCATGTGCCTCAAGGCACAGTGGGGGACACACAGAGGCATCAGATGAGGATGCAGAAAGCCTAAGAAATCAACACCTTAATGGGAAAGTGGGGCAGGCCTGGAGGCCATGGGACAAGGGTCACTCCATGTGGCGTCAGCCCTCCTGGAGCAGCATGAAGGTGAGAGCTTGCTGGGGTGGAGAGGCTGAGTCTGCTGATGCTGGGTAGTCCCTCTGATGACACTGGGTGGCTCATCGGATGGGCTACCGTCACCCACCTCTAACGAGATCGTGGAGGCACTGAGATAGGCTTAGGTGCCCTCCCTCCCTGTAAGGGGCCTGGATAGCACGGTCTCCCAGGATACAAAGCCTGGCTCAGTTGCTGGCTCATGGCTTGTTTGATCTGAGATCAGAGGGGAGTGAGACATTTCGGTTTGAAAGGCTTTCCTTTCCACCTCAGTGAAAGCAAGCAGGTGAAGGAAGTGGGGATGCAGTACAAAACACCTCCAAAACAAGACACGAGCTTCAGAGTCACATGTGAGTTTGAATCTAACACTGGGTGATCTTTCACTTCATTTCCCTGAGCCTCAGTTCTTCATCTACAAAATGGGAACAAGTCACTTCCATCTCACAGGTTTGCTGGGAGGATGAAATGAGAAATACTTGTAATCCCAGCAAACTGCCTCAGATAGAGAAGGTTCTTCATGACTGGCTATATTACAATTTGATACAAAATTGAGACCAAGATTGGTTGTAAGGATGCCTCAACGTGCATGCTTCGAGGGCAAGGGCAAACGGGAACTTGGCAGATGGGAGATGAAATGCCTGCTCTCCTTCCCCTGCCGGGTTTAAGAGTGAGCCCCTGGCCTGAGGGCTGGGCGTGCAGCGTGGCCCCAAGGCCCTCATGACAACCCAGTGGAGGACAAGGATAGGGCTGGGGTGCACTGATCCTCTGAGGAATGTTTTTAAAAAGCCAGAGGAGGAGACAGGAGAGAGAGATTTCTTCCCAGAGGTGCAGCTGCAAAGACGTCAAGCCGGGTCCATCTAGGATTTCAGATCCAGCCGTCATGGGGCAGCTGCTTGGGGAAACCGTCGCTCCCTTCTTTCTCCTCAGCACTGGTGTTATCAAAAATACATACAAACTGTGAGAAAGTTCACATAGAAACACTTTTCGGCACATATAAAAAACAGACTGGCTGTGATCAGTGGCTCAGGATGTGGACGCCCCCAAGGAGTGTCATCGGCCACCTGAAGGTGGACATGCTGGGGGGCCGCCTTGGATGGCCGGGACAGTGCCAGCTCTAGGGGAGGCTGAGTTCTTTGGCTGGACTGTACTTCTATAGAGTTGAGGGTGAGGGGCAGGAGGCATTTTGAGGCATACTGGATCCAGCAGTCCTGCTGTGACTCTGTGCTGGGGAAGGTGGTAGGGGTGCCTTGGCCCTGGGCCTCAGGGACCCCTTGCTGGTCCCCTTGATAAGGGCAGAAGCCTACTTTACAGTAAACCTCCCCAGGCAGCAGGCCTCCCTCAGGTGGCAAGATACGGTTCTGGGGTCCTATCATTAGGTCAGATTGAGTGGCAAGCCCCAGGCTTGAGGAGCAGCAGGGGGTACCATGTAACTTCCACTTCTGAAGGAGGGGAGTGACCCTGGTTTTGCCCAGAGGCTCCAGAAGGCTGGAGACATTGGGCACAGGAGGGCAGCCAGGGTGTGGCCAGGAAAGAAGGCTCCAGACAAACAGGAGTGATTTTTTGGCAGCCTGGCTCCCGTGGGCTGGGGCTTCTTGATGCTTCTTTTGGGCAGGGGGTGAAAGTAAGGACAGAGGGGCGGCCCAGTCTCCATAGGACCCACTCTTCCTTATTCTTCACCCCACAGGGGCCTGGACTGTCTGGCTGAGTGGTGAGGTCCAGGGACAGGTGGGTAGGGAAGGGGAGAGGGTGGCAGCCCAAGCTAGAGGGTCACTCTACCAGCCAGCCCAGATACCCTTTGTCTGCCCACTGTCACCGGGCAAAGCTGGGATGGCCACCCTTAGTTGACCTCGGACCCCACAAGGCTGCCCAAGAGTGGGGTGGGGGTGGGAGTGTCTGAAGTCTGAAATGTGCCAAGGACCACTCTGGCTCTGGGGCGTGAGGGGCTGGAGGCCTGTCTGTCAGGGTTGGAGGTCTTTCTTTCCAGATCCCCCAGACAGCCTGGCTCCCACTGGCCTGGCGGGCACACTAGGGCTGGAGGAGGGGCAGGCCTCGCCGGAGCCCTTCCTTCAGGAACTGCATGTAGGTGGCCGTGGATGGGTCTTCAAAGGTGGACGAGAAGCTGAAGACATTGCTCTCGACGTCCTCGGGCGTCATGGAGGTGATATCCAGGAAGTAGTTGGCGTTGATGTGGTGAACCTGGGAGGAGGGTGGGTGAGGAAAGCAGGGGAGGGGCTACCCCAGTTCACTGGGCCCCTCCTCTCCCCGCCCACTCAAGCTCTCTTGGGAAAAGTGGCCCCTCTCAGGCCTTGACTCTTTGTTCCACAACGATCACATACAGGCAGCTGCAGCTACAAGCCCCTCCCAAATCCCACCCAAGGGCTGACTGTTGTCTTCCGGCTGCTCGCTCAGGGCCTTCTGACCAGAGCCCTTCCACACCTGCCCACTGGGTGGAAACCTGACGTCCTGTAATTCCATCTTTTCTGCTGCTCCTCGCTTTGTTGTTGTTAGGTGCCGTCAAGTCGATTCCGACTCACTGTGACCCCATGTGACAGAGTAGAACAACCTCACAGGAATTCCTAGGCTATAATCTTTACAAAAGCAAATCACCAGGTCTTTCTCCCACAGAGCCACTGCATGGGTTCGAACCACCAACCTTTTGGTGAGCAGCTGAGCACCTAACCATTGCGCCACAGGTCTCCTTACTCCTTCCTACCTACCCCCCGCCAAAACAAACCTGACCCCTCTCTCCTCTGTTCTCCTGACTCCTGAATTCCATACTCACTTCCATCAAAATGCCCAAGACACTTGAAGGGCCTGCTTCCCCATCTCCCTCCTGCTCCAGCCAGTGAGCTCCTGAAGGGCAGGGCTGGGTCTTTATCTTTGTGTACAGGGCCTGGCACAGAGTAGGTGCCCGGGATATGGACACATGAGCAAATGAGTGAGCAAGCAAACAATACAACCAATGAGTGAAAGAATGCATGACAGATGGGGTTCTCATGGCCCAGCCCTGTCTGCTCATCTCTGTGACCCCAAGGCCCTGCCCTGGTCTGGCCCCACCATGGTGGGTGTCAGTGGGCATGTGCAGCTGCCTGGCTCTCCCTCAGGCCCTTCCTCCTGGGTTGTGCTCCTCACCCTGAGCCTGGGACAGCAGAAGCCTCCTGGCTGGTCCCTCTTCCTCTCCAACAAGCCCTCGCTGAGCGCATCTCCCGGGCCGGCCAGCGCTCTTGTTCCTGCACTGCTCCTCACCCTGGGATCCTGGGGAACCTGGCCACCACCCTACAGCCTTAGTCCCACACTAACCAACCCACTGTTGGCTTGGGGCTTAAAGGCTAAGGGGCAGCTTCGACCAGAAGAGCAGGAGATCTTGAGCCTCACAGGCCTGCTGCCCTTTTTAATTGTGGTACTTTAGCCAAGTCTCTGTACATTTTGAGCCTTAGTTTCCTTGTTTGTAAAATGGGCATTCATGGTCATCTCTCTCCCAAAGCTGAGGTGAGGAGCCAATGAGAGGACTTGGTGAGTGCTGAGTAAGGGCCCTGAGGAGACACAGGGTCTTGAACCTTGGCTCAGGCTCTGGCCCTCTCCTGGCATGGCTCCTGGAACTCTCTGCCTGCCTCCTGGCTGGCTCCTCCCTGCTCCTTTCATCCCAGGCTGACTCAACAGTCTGAGGCGAGCTTTCCCTTCCAGTCCATGTTTCTACCCAGTGAACCTGTCTGGCCCACATGGGAATGTGTGGACTGTGCCCGTTGCTAAGTGGTCTCCAAAGTGCTGTAGTGGTCCCTTCTAGTGGGAACTTCCAAACACCTGCATGAGGCAGGTAGAGTGGGCATTACAATTCCTGTTTTATAGATGGGGATAACTGAGGCTCAGATTGGTTGAGAGATTAGCTCAGGGTTTTGTAGCCAGGAAGTGGTAAAGCCAGCCCAAAGTCTGATGAGCTCTGCACACCATGCCCCTTGCTGCTCCCTCTGCCCCAAAGCACCTGGCCCAGGCTAGGCTCAGGTGGTGGGGTTACCTACCACGGTGCCATTGGGCAAGCAGATCATCATCTCCACGGGAAAGCTGTACTTCTCCAGGTGCAGGCCAGCCAGCTTCTTGTGGGATGGGTTCTCCTGGCTGTTCTGTGGGGACAGTTGGGCATGTTCCTGATACCTCAGCCCCCACCATTGTCCTGTGGCTCTCACGGGGACCCCACCCACCTGCCCACTCACCTGCAGGTCCTCTAGCTCCTTCACCAGGGACCAGGTGCTGATAAAGCTCTCATTGAGGAGGGTGAGGATGGGCGAACTCTCCAGGACAGTCTCCCGGAGAGTCCGCCCTGAACCTGTTCAGGGAGAGGCCAAGGCCAGAAGGGTGAGGTGCCCCCACATGTCTTACTAGGGTTTTCAGTCAGCAACAGTCTTGCTTTGGGTAAACCTCACGGGCTGTAGATTGGTCTCTGCAGCCTGCCACTTAGTAGGTGCTGAATAAATGGTAGCTGTGATGGACAACAATAATATATGGACATCCTAGGTTGAGATTTAGGGTGGGGAGTCCACCTGGCCCAGGGACTTGTAGACAGTGACAGCTTCTTAAATCCACGGAACTCTGTACCCCCGGGCCTTTGCATAGACTGCTTCCTCTATCTGAAACACTCTTTCTCCTGTCACTTGACAAACTCGTACTCATCCTTCAAAGTCTCAACTTAAATGTCTTCCCTGATCCCCCCAGTCACATGCTTTCCTTGCTACCTGGACCTCGCCTTGTATAACATTCACCACACTTGTGATGATTCACTCAGTGTCTGGCTTCTGCACCACACTGTATGCTCCTGAGGGCAGGGGCTGCTGCTGACTTCCTGGCTGCAGCACTCCAGCACCTAGCTTGGGGCTGGGCACAGCAGGTGCCCAGAATGTGTTTGCTGAGTGACTGGGTGAGAACATCCTGTACCCACTGCTGGGTGCCCAGACAACTTTGCACCTAGCAGGCCTTGGGTGAATTTTCTGAATAAGTGAATGCAAGCCGAGCCTTGGAGGTTGTTTTCTCTCCTGCACATGGATACCACTTTACAGAGTATAGGGCACTTTCACACCCATTCTCACGATGGGAATAGGTATAGTAACTGTATTGCTGAGGAAACTGAGGCTTAGGAAAGGTAAGTGGAAATGGCTGAGTTAGGACTTGAACCCAGTCTGTCAGGGGTCTTTCTACTGCAACGAGCAGCTTCCTCTGGGCTCAGCACAGAAATCCCCAGTCCTTGCCCCACCCTGTATATGTAGTCCTGAGTCCCTTATGGCTTGGTGCCTCTTACACCCCGAAAGAGGTCTCCTCCCCACCCCCTCTTGGAACTGGTTGGTCTCCCTCACCTCAGCAGGACTGGTCATCCAGGGCCCCCCACAGCAGGATTGAGTGCACCAGCTTGTTTTCTGCCTTGGCTCGGTCGAAGGCCTCAGTGAACGGCAGGTAGTTGACCTGGGGCCAAGCCAAGACAGATAGAAGCCACTGTCTGAGGCCAGGTCCCATTCAGGGGCTCTGAGTATGTAGTATATGTGTGTGTGTGGCAGGGAGCAGGGGTGGGGGTGGGGGGCTGGGGGCTCCCCAGGCACCAGGCTGGGCCCTGTAGGGAGATGCCCTCAGCAGCAAGCTGCTCACATACTCCAGCATCCCTGTGCTCACCTGATGCCCTCCAAAATCCCAGCCTCAGCACCTTGGAGCCTGACCCCAGCACCCCCCACCAGTGGCTGTCATCACCCCTGCCCACGTGCCTGCCCAGCCTCACCTTCTTGAAGGGGTACATGGTCACCTCCAGGCGCCGGGTGGCCTCCTCCAAGCTCAGCTCCTGGTGCCATTTGATCTCTTCAAACACAAACTGGAGGGGCTCCCCCGAGGGCAGGCGGCTGTTGATCACATTGCCATCCTCATCCAGGATCACAGAGGGCACTGAGGGGCCCGTGGCTTCCAGCTCCATCTGGGCCAGAGGTCAGTGGGTAAGGGATGTTTCAGAGCTGGGTGAGAATACTCAAGGTGGTCCTGAGAGACCCTCACCCATTGTAGAGACGGGGAGACAGAGGCCCAGGAAAGGGTAGGGCCTCGGTCACGGCTATGCAGTAAGTCGGGGACAGAGCCAGAGTGCCCAGCCAGGGCTCCTTCTATTGCCTGTTGCTTCCTGAGGCCCAGGTCAGACCCTGGGCATTGTGTGTAGGAACGTGCAGCTTCCAGAAACCCAGGTGCTGTGTCCTCCGCCCTGGGCTGTCCTGAGCACTTGCCAGCTAGGCCCCGATGCAGGAAGCTGAGTGGCCCTGTGGCAGGGGCCTGTAGTTGAGCCCCACCTTCTTACCTGGTTAGGGACCACCTGTGTGCTCACCTGGGGTATGTAGCCGATGTCCACTTCCATATTGCTGCTCTCACTGGCCCCGTACAACCACTCCATATCCACGTTCAGAGACCTGGGATATGGATGGGTAAGGGGGGTGACAAGAGCAGAATGTCATCAAAGCCCATTAACCATGTGCCAGGCTTCATCTCACCGAGGGTGCACAACAGCCTGAAGTCCACAGTTACTGTCCTCACTTTACAGATGAGGACACTGAGGCTCAGCAAGGGGGATTCTGGCTGCAGAGCCTGGGCCCCTTCCTCTCCCCAGGCTGCCTCTCCCTAAGGGCACCCCAACATCACCCTCCACTTTTACAGTTCAGAGGACTTTCACATCACGTTTCACGTGCCACCCATGACCCCCTGAAGCAGAGAGACCATGAACGCCTTGTTGCAGGACAAAGGAGTGAAAACCAGAGCACTGTCCTCCCTGTGCTGGTCTCCAGACTGCAGGAAGTCTGCTCTGATCACATGCAATCTGAAGATCTGCCACATGGGGGAGCCCCAGGACTGTCAACCGATCAACTTCACCTTGGGAGAGGTGGAGCAGGGCCTGGTGAGCTGGGAGTCCCTGCTGCCTGGTCCTGAGACATGGGCCCAGGGCAGCTGGTCCTGGGGCTACTCATTTGCCCCTCTCTCCCTCCATCTCATCCAGCCCAGGACATCGTCCTCTCCACCCCAGCTCAACAACACTGGGTTGGAGGCAGACATGCCTGGTGGCCAGCCTCCTCCCCAGCCCTGGGCTGGGCCTCATGGAGCACAAGACAGGGAGGACGAGTGCAGCGCGGACTTCCCACTCAGCCCAGGATGGCCCTGCCCTGCCCTCTCAGGGAAAGAGAGGAAGCGGTGCCTGCTCCCTGGGGCAGTGGCATCACTGGGGTGGGTATCACCCCCCCTGCTAATACTACAATATTATAGCTAAAACACCAGAAAATCTGACAAAATCAGCCGCTATAAAAACACTGGCAGCAACAAAAACAATAGCCGTGCTTGCAGCACGTGCAAACGAAACTACGTGATTCGGAGCGCCCTTGTAATTGGGTAATAATGACAGCTCTGTCTGGAGCGCATTAAAAGAAAAAACAAACAAACCCATCGCCACTGAGTGGATTCCGACTCATAGTGACCCTATAGGATGGAGTACAACTGCCCCATAGAGTTTCCAAGGAGCGCCCGGTGGATTTGAACTGCTGACCTTTTGGTTAGCAGCCATGGCTCTTAACCACTGCGCCACCAGGGTTTCCAAGGTTCAAAAACTAAATTAGCACAGTTTTAGCCTTGTAGGTATACTGTAACATGTAAGCTGGGCTTATGAAAAAATTTTTTGTTGTTATAACTAACTACAGGGATATTTTTATAAAAAAAATAATAATAAATTTATGCTGAAACACTGCACAAAAAGTTTACTGACAGTCATTTTGGTGTCACTCCCTGATTTTGGTGTCACCCCCTCCGACAGCATCACCTGGTGCTGTCAAAACTTCTACAACTCCCTTGTGACAGCACTGCCCAGGGGCAGCTTTCCCTTCTAGGCTATCCTGCAGGTGAGACAGGCCAGGAGTCAGCCTCCCATCTGGCGGATGAGGAAACAGGTCTGGAGAGTGCCAGGATCTTGCTCACAGCCACACAGCCCATTGGTGCCAAGGCCGAGACTTAACTATGGACCTTCTGGCTCCCAGCCCAGGTCCTGCCCCTACACTGGCCACTCAGGCCCAATATGTGGCCATTTGTTGTTGGGGAGGAATCTAGAAAACCCGAAGCTGGGTTCTCTGGGTCCCCTGCTGCCCCGACAGGTGGCAGACCCTGAGCAGGCCATGAAGGCAAGCAGGAGGCTGGCATGAGTCATCAGCAGACCCCGTGAGGCTGTGTGGTAGCACCTGCGGCTGAGGGGGGGTCTATCCTCAGACCTTTGTGTGTGCTGTCCCCTTCGCCTAGCTAACCTTCCTCATCCCCCAGGGGTCTGCTTAGATGTCGCTTCCTCTGGGAAGTCTTCTTGGACCCCGACCAGCTGGGTCCCTGCCCACATGCTGGCTCCTCCTAGGGTAGCATGAGCAGGCCGTGGTTATGGCTGTTTTCAAGGTCTGTCTGTCAGCAGTATGAGGGCAGGGAGGCACCAGCTTCAGGGAGGGTCTGTTTGTAGCTGCACTGGGTCCCAGGTACAGTGCAGGGCCCGGCCCACACAGCACCTGAGAAACAGATGATGGAATGATCACCTCTGCTGCCTCTGGGTGGGGAGCAACAGCTCCGGGCTCCTCCAAGAGGGGGTCCAGGTTCCTTCCAAGAGGGGTAGCTCTGGGTAGCAAAGGAATGGCAGTCGACTGTGGGGGCCTCTGGGGACCCCTTGCTTCTAATCTCCTGGAACTGAGGGGTAGGGTAGATTATAGCAGGGTGCCAGGGCTGGGCCAAGGCTCCCACCTGTGGTTGGGCACGAAGAGCCGGAAGTCGCGGACATGGGTGGCGTCTTTGGACAGGATGATGTGGCCGGTGAACTGGCCAGGGGAGAACCAGAAGGGGAAGTTGGGCGGCTCGCTGAGCTGGAACTCGGCGTGGATCCTGTGGGGAAGGCAGCCAGCCGTCAGCAGGTCCCCTGCTGAGCCAGAGCCCACCCTCCCACTTCTTTCCCCAAAGGCTGGGAACCTGGGGAAGGAGGCCAGACTATCACATGGGGGAGGGGAAGAAAGGAGGGTGTTTGGGGCAGGGAGAGAGTACGAGACCCTCCAATGCTGCCCATCCTTCAAGGCCTAGTCCTCAAGCTGCCTGCTCCAGAAGCCATGCCTTGACCCTTCTCTGGGCTCCCATAGCCTCTCTAGGTCGTGTGTGACCTGGTACCACAGGTATCGTTCACCCACCTTCTGGGCTGGTGACACAATCATGGCCATCAGGCCTGGGCTAAGCACTTTCCACACCTCCTTCCAGTGAACCCTCACATGCCCTATGAGGAAACTGAGGCTTAGAGAGCCAAAGCTGCTGGCCCAAGACCACGGGATGGTAAGTGGTGGAGCTGGGGGCTTTGAGTCCGGCCCCTCCCAGTGCCATTCCCTTCCTGAGGTTCCTCTGGTGCCCTAGGGCCCCAGGCTCGGGTGGGAGGCAAGGATGGGGGTGGCGAGGGTGACTCACCGGAACATCACAGTGTAGTAGAAGTCACTGATGGCGGTCAGGCAGGCGACAGCACCCTGGGGGGCAAAGCGGGTCTTCACGAAAGGCCGAGGGTGGAACATGCTCAGGAGCCGGTGGATGATGACCTGGGGGAGGGGAGTGGAGACCAGGCTGGCTTGCTGGCCCAGAAGAGAGACCCAGGGGCCTGTGAGGGTGGGTCCAGAGGGGAAACAGGGAAGTAGGTGGGGCAGGGCTTATGCTGGGGGTCCAGCAGCAGACCGGGAGGGGGCACTGGTTGGACTTGGGCAGGGGCAAAGGGGCCCTGCGTCTCACCACAGGCTGCCCTCACCTCCTTGCCCTTGGGCGGCGGTGGGTAGAAGCGGTTGTTGGACAAGTAGCCAGTGAAGATGCTCAGCTCACTGGGGATAATCCACCAGGGCTCGCCCAGCTTCACCTGGCCCGGAGGAGGGAGGAACGGCCAGAAGTGACGGGCGGCGAACACTGCTCTTGGTGAGGCTGCGGTGGTCCAGTTACGGAGGCCGGACAGGGCCAGATGGGAAACCTGGGGCAGGGGAAAGCCGAAGACTGGGGACACTGCCAACCATGACTTTGGAGTCCCCTGGTCCATGATAGGAGCCCCTGGGTGGTGCAAACAGTTAACGCACTCAGCTGGTAACCAAAAGGTTGGTGGTTCGACTCTGCCCAGAGGTACCTCAGAAGAAAGGCCTGGCAATCTACTTCCGAAACATCAGCCATTGAAAACCCTATGCAGCACAGTTCTACTCTGACACACATGGGGTCTCAGTGAGTTGGCACTGACTTTGCAGCAACTGGTATGGTGTGGTCATGAGTAGGTGGAGTCTCCTCTGAACCCTGAGCTGGCCTAAAAGCCCAGGGAGGAGAGGGAGCCCGAGGAGTCTCCTGCCCTGGTGAGGGCCACATGCTTGGCATTGTCTTGCCAGAGCCAAGGCTCATGGCCCTCTCCCCTGCCCCAGCCCTCTGACTGCTTCTGCTTCTTCCTAGTCAGAAGGCTCCCAGGCTGCACTCATTCCTGCCTGCACTCCTTGGCATAAGCTGGAAGACGAAGACCAAGCCTGCGTGCCACAGCCCTGCCTAGCTTCCTCGCCCCCACACCTTAGCCTCGAATTCGGCTCCTAATCCCTCCCCGGAGGTTGACAGTCCCATTGAGGAAATCAGAGTTTGGATTTGGAGCTAAGTCTGTTGAGGGAGGGGTGAAACTTCTAGAGGCAAGAACAGGGTGAGATGACCACAGAGGGAGGGGAAGGCCAGCCCAGAGAGCACCCCCCCCCCCCCCCGCTTCCAGTGCAGCCTGCCGCACGCTGGCCGTGCACTCACGGCAAGAGGCCTCCCGAAGCTCTTTTCCTCATCAGTAGCCCACCTGTTCTGTCTGATGACTCAACAGGCAGGAGACAATCAGCACTGGAAACTGACAGGGCTGTCCACACCTCAGCCTGGGCAGAGGCGGGACCCTGGAGCAAGCAGGATGCTTTTGTAAAAGCTCCACCCTCAGAAGCTGCTCCCTGCCCTTCTGGGGTGCAGGTAGGAACCGGTCCTCCATGAGGTATCAGCCACCGGACAGTGTGTACCTGGCCCCCTCAGTGATGCTGTCCCAGTCTTGGCAGCAGCAGGCTCCCTCGCCCTCCCCACTTCTAGGGCAGCTGAGGCCCCAGGCTCAGTGGGAAGTGGGAGCAGCAGGAAGTGCGAGGAGGTCCCACTGTGAGGGATTTAACAGGCAGGTTTTCAGAGCAGGGCTGGCTATGCCTGCCCACCCGCCAATCCACTCGCTTGCTGGACGCTGCTCATGGCTAGCCACCCCAAGCAAGGAGCTGCCCCAGAAGGGAGCCAGGCTCTGTGGGGCTCTGCTCCTGTTGTCTCCCCACATAAATACAGGTGCATCCCAGGCCCTGCTCCAACCCCCCTGCCCTCCGCTCTGCTTGCTGCTCTGTGGGGGACTCATCTGTTCCCTTAGCTTTAACCACCACTCTGGGCCCATCACCCCCAAACCCACCCAAACCCATCCCACTCAACCCATGGCCACCCCCAGATCTTTCTGCACAAGCTCAAACCCGTGTTTCAAACCACTTGGCTGGACTCTCCACCTGGACGTCCCCCAGGTTCCTCAACTTCAGCACACCCAAACTGATCTCATTCTCTTGCCACCAGACCCACTCCCCTCTGGTTATCAGCCAGATGCCCAGGAGTCACCTCAACTCCTCCCACCTACTTTCCATCAGCAGCCCCGCCCCACCCTTTCTTCAGTTCCCATCATCCGTTATCCCTCTGCCCTTCTGCTCCATCACTGCTGCCGCCCCTAAGCCTGCCAACCTCTCCTCCTCCCTCCCAGGGACTGGCCTTCCCAAATCTCCCCAGCATCCCTCCCTCAACACCAGCCATCAGCCTGGGGAGCACAGATCTGATGAGGGAACTCTCTTACTGCAGAATCGGCCGTGGTTTCTTGCTCTGCAGAACCAAGCCCCAAGCCCAGCCACCAAGGCGCTTTGTAGTTGGGCAACTTCCCTTCCAGCCCCACTGGCCAGGATGCCCCCACATGGGCCCCACATGCCCTGGGTCCAGCCCTCGGTTGACCAGGCCTGCCACTTTCTGCCTTCTGGCCTGTGTTCATGCTGAAGTGACATTTCAGCTGAGATATAAAGGCTGAGTAGATGTACACTAGGCAAAGAGAAAATGCTGTTCTTGGCAGAGAAGGAACAGCATATGAGAAGGCTCACAGCTGGAAGGAAGTGTGGTGATTGGGAAGAAAGGCAAGAGGGCTGGGGATGCTCACGACCTGGGATAGGTATGAGACCTTGTCCAAGGGCCTTGGGTGGGGGAGGGGCTGGTAAAGATGGATGGTCTACCTCCCATAGGAAGAGTGGGCAGAGGGGCTGCCTTCTCAGGGGCCCTCCCACCCTTCAGCACCCTGCCAGGGGCGGACCCTCAGGTCTATATCATCTGAGTGCAACAGAGCAGGGGCCAGGCCTCGGGCTAGGGGCCTGGGGTACACTGATGTGTAAGATGTGGGCCTTGCCGCCTAGAAACTCATGGCCTGCGGGGAGACAGAGACTTGCAGAAAGTAATCATTACAATCTGTGAGGCGGCTGCTTTAGGCTCTCTCCTGCACTTGCTGTTGCCTCCGTGCCGTTACCAGGCTAAGCCCTCCTCATCCTCAGTCTGTGTCATTTGTCACTCCCTCCAGAACATCATCCCAGTTCCCCCTTCCCCTACCCGTCCCCCCAGGTTAGAGGCTCCTGCTTCTCTCCTGCCTCCCCCACCAGACTGTGTACTGGGAGCAAGGACAGCATCACTCCACTTCTGGACCCTTGGGCTGGGCACAGTGGATGGCTGATGAAGGAAGGAAGGAGAGATGGAAGGATGGACGGACTGAGCGCAGACTGGTCCTCAGGGGAGTGCACCCCAGTGACCCAGTGATCCAGGCTACTGTCTGTGTCCCACCCATGGGGGCCCCATCCTGCCTAACCCCAACTCACCCCCAGGAACCCATCTTTGCTCTTGGTCATGCTCTCCGGGAGCAGAGGCTGGAATCGGGCCTCTATGGTGAGCGTCTCCTCGCTGGGGTCTGGGGGTAGCTCCTCGTCCTCATAACTGGTCGCAGGAGTTGACCCTGGGAGACACAGATCGCGGGAGGGCCCTGCCCTCAGGCTGCAAGGCCTCGCTTCTTTCTGGGCACCCACACTGGCCTAGTGATTAAGGGCACCAGGCTCAGGTTGGGGCGGGGTGGAATTAACAACCACCAAAGTAACACACAGTATGTATCACATTTTAGTTTCACAATAGCCCTGTTAGGGAGATAACATTATTGCCAACTCTGGTTCCCAGATGAGAAAGTGGAGGCTCACAGAGGTGAAGTGACTTCCCCGAAGTCACAGAGCTAGGTTAGTGGGGGAGTCAGGATTCAAACAGATGCTCAACCACGACCCTCTTCCTGAGGCGGATAAGCTCTCAAGGGCTGTGTTCTCAGAGGCTCTGAGTCAGACTGATCTGGATTCAAATCCCAGCCCCACCACTCAGTGGCTGTGTGACCGTTGGCCAGTGGCTTGTTATATGGATTAAATGAGATAATCTATGTAAAGTGCTTAGCTTTGGGCCTGAACAGAGTAAGCCCATAATAAACTTCAGCTGTCTTACTATTAACCAAGGTGGGGAGTCACAGAGCTGGGGCTCCTACCTAATTCTTCTGTCTCCAACCTGGGTTCTTCCTACCAGGCCAGGCTGGCTGGCTGCAGAAAGGCTATTCCCAACTGTTCCATGTCCTTTGTTCTCCAAACCAAGTTTGTGATAAAGCCATGCTGGGCCCACTAACGGTAGCACCCAGGCAAGCAGCTGCTGTTTCCAGCTGCTGGGATTCCCACGAAAGAGAGAAGCAACTTTCTGGGGCATGGAGCTGAAAACACACTGGGCCAGGCAACCTCCGCCCAGTCCCTTAGTTAAGGTTGGCTCCATTTCCTGGGCTCTTTGGGACAAGCCAGGGTTCCCTGGGTGGTGCAAACAGTTAAGCGCTCGACTACTAGCTGAAAGGTTGGTGGTTCAAACCAACCCAGAAGAGTCTGGGAAGACAGGCCTGGCGATTTGCGTCTGAAAGTTCACAGCCTTGAAAACCCTATGGAGCACAGTTCTACTCTGCACACACGAGGTCACCATGAGTCAGAATCAATGACAACAACAACTGGGATAAATCATTTAGCCTCTCTGCTTTTTGTACATGAAAAAAGGAGACAATACTACCATTCCTGTCCCTGTCATTGGGACCTGGTGAAAAAACCAATGGCTGCTCAGAGAGGAACTCAGTCAAGGAAATCAAAGTAATAAAAACAAGAGACAGATTCAGGCTATCTCTGGTGGCACGGAAAGAGTGCTGGTTCCGGAACGAGGAGACCTGCTTCTCCCTGATTTTCTAGGTGACTATGGGCTGCACCTTTCCCACCAGGGCCACTTCCCCATCTGTACAAGGAGGACTGAACTAACAGTGGTTGAATTCGATTTCCCAGATCTCTTCCTGCTCAGTGCTCTTTCAAGTGTGGAGGGAATGACTATGAAGGCTTAAGGGAGACAAGAACCCAGTTCAAAACGGTGGGGCCCCTGGATGCATATAATAGAATAAAACAGGGGTGAGTCTTGCTATGTCCACTCTCTCAGGGCTTGGCACAGTTTGTGATACAGAGACGATACTAGGTGTTTGTTGACTGACTGACTGGCTGGCTGAATGAATGCATTAAAAGCAGTTCTTAACCTGGAGTCAACAGAATCACCCAGAATGCCCTTTTAAATTACAGGCATCCAGACTCCACCTCAGACCTACGAATCAGAACCTTTAGGGCTTGGAACGAGGACACTGCACGTTTAATTAGCAGTCCCTAGTGGCTCCTGATGCAAATCTCTGTTCTAACGAATCACTGTTATTTCTGCAGTTGTAAGTCAATGCAGCGAAACTTTCTGAATCAGTAACCCAGAAACCTCAGAGGAAGGGAGCAATAAGGAAATGCAGGGTGATTAGTCTGTCTTGCATATTCAATTATTTTATTGTTACCACAGGTAATTATTAATAATGATACCCAGCATTTTACAGTCCTTTGGTTTTCTAATAAAAATGTTATTTCCTGATTTATATGTAATATTTGCTCATTGTAGACAATCTGTAAAAATTTAAAGTACTTTATAATGCAGAAAATTAAAAACACTCATAACTCCACCAACTGGCCTCTATTTCCTGCTTGGATTAGAGTTTTTTTAGCCTTTTGACTTCCCAGCACTTGGTCCTGTTTTGCACTCAGAGTGGCATTGGAGGTAAAGGAGGGAGAGATTATTCTCCCATGTTGGAGAAAAAGATTTATGAGAAAAAAATTAAAAGCGTCTCCAAGCCCAGCAAGCTTTGCCAATATGTCACTATCAGGACGCTCTCACTCTCTGGCCACAAAAAAGGGCAAGGAAGTAGCCTGCGTGGATGCTCGGAGAAGTGTATGCAAAATAATGCTAAGAAGTACAAGCAGATCCACAAGGGGTGACCTGTTTACCTGCCTGTCTGCTTTCATGACAGAACTGACTGCCACCAAGAGACACTGACACACACCCACTCCAGCCAATTAGCATTTTCCACATGACCTTCCTCCTCTGGCAGTGACAACAGGTCACTGGGCCAGCAGGTGGCTGACCTACCTGACACATCCCCTGAAACACAGAAAGCCCATCATGGGCTTCTTTTATTTTTAGGTGGCTGAGAGCAGCTGGGGTCTCTTGTTCTTGTCTCTCCCATCTACTGGCTTACTTGAACCAGGCAATTTGGTGACAAGTAGGTGCCCCAGCTCATCAGTTTAAGGAATGTCACAACAAATTACAGGGCAATGGAGACAGAGGTTGGGGTGTGGGAGAGGGGCAGTGAGAAAAGCATTTTATAATTCATTCAAATATTTCAGCCCCTCATCTTTGAAAACAAATCGCTGATTATATCTAGGCAAAAATGGATAGCAAGAATGGGATGGGAATCTGACAGCACCTAAGCAGAGTTTAATACTTAGTAATAATATTAGTACCTGTTGTTGTTGTGAGCTGCTGAGTTGATTCTAACTCACAGGAGCCCCACGTAACAAAGCAGAACTGCCCCTTAGGGTTTTCTAGGTTATAATCTTTATAGAAGCAGATCGCCAGGTCTTTCTTCCACAGAACTGCTGGGTGGGTTTGAATCACCAACCTTTCAGTTAGCAGCCGAGCGCTTAACCCTCAAAGCTGTGAGCTGGTGTAGGACTCTGGCGCCAGATGGCTCCGGTTCTAATCCTAGGTCTAAACCTTTCTAGCTTGGGCAAGCTGGTTAATTTCCTGTGCTTCAGTTTCCCAAACTGTAACCACGGGGGGCATGATAGTGTCCATCTCCCAGGGCTATTGTGAAGATTAAAGAGGTAACACACATAAAGTGCTTCAGATGATGTCTGCCATCAAGGAGGTGGCCAAAGAATGTGAACTAGCATTCTCTTCACATGGGCGGAAAACAGGTTTGGGGGGCTGAAGCAGCGTGTCCAAGCTCCCAGCTAGAAAGTGGCAGAGCCCAGAGAAACCAAAGCCCACAATCTTCCTTCTGCTTCAGGCCGCTGCTTCTCCTTGGCTGTGAAGACACAGCTGCCAAGAGGCTGAGGGCAGCGCCTTGGGCTCCCCCTTCCCCAGCCTCTGCTGGTACCTGTCAGCTTCTCAGCAATGGGTTTGAACTCCTCAGGGCTGATGTACATATCTCGGTCGGTGTCCAAGGAAGAGAAGAGAAAGAGGCCTTCTGTGCCCAGGGCCTTCAGTGCTGATTCCTGCTTGGGAAAAAGGGCACACCTGAGCACCAGTTGGATTCCCAAGTCTTCCTGACCCCAAATGGGTAGATGCTTCCAACCCCAGGTGACAGCTGATGGTGGGGCTCCCCTAACCATCTTCCTGAGGTCTTTCAATACCTCTAGTCCGTCTGTCCAAATGTCATCTCTGAACTGCCCTCAGAGTCCTTCCAACCCCCTACCCAATCCCTCCTAGTCCCTGCTTCACTCTGGGCCTTCATCCACTGTCCACTCTCTAAGGGTCCCCTCCTGGTCTGCCCCATCTTCCCCAGTCCCCCTTCCAGCCAGGCCATCCCTGCTTCACCCTGTTCTTTCCCCCATGGTCCTCTCCTGAGCCCCTCCCCACTTCCCCCAGCTTCCCAGTACCCCTTCCAGACTCTCTAGGTCCCATCTTCACTCTATGCCTTCAGCTGCTGTCCGCTGTTCAAGTCATCCCTCTGGACCCGCCCCTCCAGGCCTCACACAGGGCCAGTCCTGTCACCTTCCTCCCTCTGTGCTTCCAACTCTGTCATCCCAGCTCTAGTCAGTCTTGGTCTCCTTTGCCCCTTTCTGTCCACATCCCCCTCCAGGGCCTACCTATGCCCTGGAAGAGGCACAGCTGGAGCCCGTGACTTCCCCCAACCCATAGAACAGCCCTCTCCCACTCGCTCGCTCGCTGACTGACCGGCCTCCTTCCCATCCTCATAAAGTCCTTCTCCAGGCCAACTTTCCATCCCCTGCTGGCCGTTGCTCCTCTGCCCGCCCACCCTCTGAGCCCCCAGCGGGCCCTTCCATCTCTGTCCCTTGTCCCCACCCCCACCCCGTCTATCCCCGGTTCCCGGTCCCTCTGCGAGCCGGCGGCCGAACGTTCCATCCCGCCCCCACGCCCCGGCCCACCCGAGTCTCCCCGGTCGCGCCCCCT